AAGATTCTTTGGATATAGGAACTTTGAATTTAGAATTTGTTCATGGGAATTTTCCCTTGTGCATTTTTTAAGTTTTTTGTGTGTTTTTGTGTAACAACGTGGGACATCTCCAGTTGCCCTAGTGGGCCTCATCAATTCGTCTTAAAAATGGTGCTTTGCAAGGTAATAATACCCGAAGTTATGTACTCTGTTGGAGTAGAGTGGGAGGGAAGTAAGCTTGCGGAAATGCTTATATAAGAATTTCTTGAAACCCATTATCATCTAACTATAAATTGATTGTGTTCCTGCAAGATGTGGAGTTTTCAACCCTTGAGAATACTTACGAGACTTAAAGGATATCTGCTAAACCTAACAAAAGTAAATGAAAAGAAGGGAAAGATCTCAAAGAGATCCTGGATGGTAAAATTTTACTCTGTCCAGACAAAAGAAGACCTATCTAATTGGATCTTCGAAGTGACCAGGGAATGCTCCTTGATTTTATTTTATTTATTATTTATTTTTTTATCGTGGCTAGGCAACCTCTGCTTCACATTTGGTTCAATACATATCAAGTAGAGGAATTGATTTGAATTCTAAACTAATGTAACCAAAAATTTTTTCCAATTATATTTCAAATTAGTTCCTTTACAATGTAGAAGGGAGTGGAAAACGAGATCAATGTAGACTACGTCTGATAAATATGTATAATGGTTAGTTGAGTACTTGAGCTGAGTTGATTTCCTTCATTAAGTTGTAATTTTGCATTGATGAATCTCGAACTGAAGCTACAAACTTCTTTTTTTCTTAAATTTGTAGTTACTTGCAACAAGTTGAAATTTTGCATCAATCAATAATTTTATTATTATTATATTTTTCTTGTGCAGCACTGTCAGTGATAAAGTCTGATGACCCAGAATGGTTTTTCTTCTGCCCTCGCGATAGAAAATATCCAAATGGGCATCGTTCTAACAGGGCCACAGAAGCTGGTCATTGGAAGGCCACTGGCAAGGATCGTACTATAAAAGCTCACAAATCATCGTCTTCTGGTTGCTCTAATGCCCATTTCATTGGCGTGAAGAAGACTCTGGTTTTCTACAGGGGTCGTGCCCCCAAGGGTGAACGTACAAATTGGATCATGCATGAGTATCGTGCTA